CCTAAACCCTAAACCCAAAACCCGCCAACAACTCTAGATACCCTAAGAACCCTGAGTCTCTCAGCCTCCAAACCCCCCCAAACCCTACAATGCATCTAATCCTGAATTTAAGATTTAGGTTTAGGGTTTAGGGTTTTAGGTCTGGGGCCTATAGGCTAATCCTGGGTTTAAGATGTAGGTCTGGGGCTTATAGGCTAATCCTGGGTTTAAGATTGAGGTCTGGGGGCTTATAGGGCCTAAAACCCATTGCCCAAACCCCGAAGCCCTAAACCCTAAAGCCTAAACCCTAAACACCATATGGTCTGTGCGGTGGAGGCTGCTAGCTGGAGCTCTTTTTGCAGCGTAAGTATTTGGCACGCAGAGAGTCAGATTGTCTAGAAGCCATAAACTTGTCAAGGTAGTATCACCTTAAAGCGGCAGTAGACGCCCAAATACAAATATTCAAGCTGTTGAGTTTGAAGGTCCAAGAAGGTTGGTTCAAGAGTTGCAGCTTCATGTGCCTGGATGGTCCCAAGTTGAGGCTTGGCCCTAGACCCTAATTGAAGGAAACTACAAGGCGGGAGTTTAGGGTATGTAGGGCTTCTAGAAGGCTGCTATAAGGCATATAGACCTTCTGTAAGGCTCCTAAAACGGTAACTACCCACCTGAAATAACCCACCTGAAATAACCCTCAACCCTAAACCGTAAACCCCCTAAACCCCTAAACCCCTAAACCCCTAAACCCCTAAACCCCTAAACCCCTAAACCCTAAACCCCAAGCCTCCAAACTTCAACTGCTGGCTTCAGTTCGGGCCCAGGACTGGGCAAGCAAGGCTTCCCCTAAGACCTAGGTTCCTTTTAGGGTTCCTGACATGGGTTTAGGATTTAGGGCTTAGGGTTTAGGGTTTCGGGTTTAGGGTTTAGGGTTTAGGGTTTAGGGCTTAGAGTTTAGGGTTTCGGGTTTAGGGTTTAGGGTTTCGGGTGGCTTATTGCAAGGTTCCTGCAAGGTCTCCTTTCAGGAGCCCCTAAACCCTAAACCCTAAACCCTAAACTCTAAGCCCTAAACCCTAAACCCGAACGCCCTAAACCCGAACGCCCTAAACCCTAACCCCTAAACCCTAAACCCTAATCATACTTCGAAACTCCCAAGCTCTTCGAAGCTGGTCCCCCAAAAACTCCTGCAGGAGCCCATGTAGAAGCCGTGTGACACTGTTTAGGGTTTAGCAACCCTAATATTGTGGTAACTTAACTTGAATCCCTTAACAAGAACCCTAAACCCTAAACCCTAATATTATGGTAACTTAACTTAAATCCCTTAACAAGAACCCTAAACCCTAAACCCTAATATTGTGGTAACTTAACTTAAATCCCTTAACAAGAACCCTAAACCCTAAACTCTAAACTCTAAACCCTAAACCCTGAACCCTAATATTATGGTAACTTAACTTAAATCCCTTAACAAGAACCCTAAACCCTAAACCCTAATATTATGGTAACTTAACTTGAATCCCTTAACAAGAACCCTAAACCCTAAACCCTAATATTATGGTAATTTAACTTGAATCCCTTAACAAGAAACCTAAACCCTAAACCCTAAACCCTGAACTCCTAACCCTAAACCCTGAACCCTAAGCCCTAAACCCTAAACCCTAAACCCTAATATCATGGTAACCTTAGCTTAAATCCCTTAACAAGAACCCTAAACCCTAAACTCTAAACCCTAAACCCTAAACCCTAATATTATGGTAACTTAAATTAGAATCCCTTAACAAGAACCCTAAACCCCAAACCCTAAACCCTAAACCCTAATATTAGGGTAACTTAACTTAAATCCCTTCACAAGAACCTCCCCAATTCGCCTCCTCCCCACGCCCAGCTTTTGGATCGGCCGGTCCGCCGGAAGACCTCGGAGGGCTCATGCCAGGGGGCCTTTAGCGACTTTAGGGCTTAGGGTTTAGGGCTTTAGGGCTTTAGGGTTTTCAGGGTTTTAGGGGTTTTAGGGTTTAGGGCTTCAGGGTTAGGGCTTTAGGGTTTAGGGTTTGAGGGTTTAGGGCTTAGGGCTTTAGGGCTTTAGGGCTTTCAGGGTTTTTAGGGTGTTAGGGCTTTAGGGGTTTAGGGTTTTCAGGGTTTTAGGGGTTTAGGGCTTTAGGGTTTTAGGGTTTAGGGTTTTAGGATTTTCAGGGTTTTAGCGGTTTAGGGGGCTAGGGTTTTAGGGTTTAGGGCTTAGGATTTTTAG